AGCCAGTGCTTAACCTTGCTGCTGAGATTTGTCAACAGGGAGGCCAGGTAGCAGCTGATATGATGGCAGGTGAAATAATGCAGATGTCTGTCCATTAGGAGCACAACTGTTAGCTTTTTCACACAATGTGTACTTCAAAACACGGCTCTGCATAAATGATGCCCTCCCCCGCAAAAGAATGCCTCCCTACAATGAAGTGTTACAGAAAATTTGGTTGTATTTTGAGGTTTTTTTTGTTGTTGTTTTCTAACTCGAAGTCTCTCTCTCAAGCCTCCTTCTGCTGGGCTCATGATGACTTGGCAGGTGTAGGAGTATAAGAAAAGAATTCTGCTTGAAAAAATGTCCACTTTTAATATTTTTTTAACATATATGCCGTATTAAAAATATACGTAGATGCAGAATGAAAACAAGACAGTTCTTGCTGTCCTGAGAAGCTGTTCTTGCTTTGTACACAAACTGAGGCATTTTCTGTCACCACACACGTACACTGGTGTATGGATCAGAAAAGATGGATTAGGGAAAGTTGATTTCTTAATATTGCACAGGTGTACAACCATGTTATGGCCGCCTGCTGCATAGGACAGTGGCTCTTTATCACATATCAGCATATGACACTAATACCCCTGTTTGGGTGCACATAGTGTTCTGCTGTCGGAGGTGCGGTTTTTGGCAAGGCTGGAGAGGCTCATTGCAGGAGGACGGTTGATGTTTTGGTTGAGATTAGCTTTTACATGGAAGCTGAGAGTAAGACTCCAGGGCCAGAACTACCACCAGAGTTGCACTGAGCTGCTGCCTGACTGCCGGTGCGGACAGGGTAATTTGGTCCTGCTCAGCCCCCTCCTCGGGACACTGAGACGCTGTCAAACGGCGCAGAGCACACCGCTCCCAGCGACAGCCGTGTCCCCTCTCCTCTGCCCGCCACCGTGCTCTTGGACTCGCTCCCACACCTTCTCTGCCTGTTTTAACCGAACATTTCAGCCTACATCTTAAGGCATTGCCTCAATTAAATGAATGGGTATAATACTTTACAACAGAACTGTAACGATTTCCACAAGCAGAGACCTCTTTTAAAACCATCAAGATATAATCAGGGCTTCCCAGATCAATCTCTGAAATACCTTTCAAAATTATACCAGAGAATTTGCATGCTTGTCTTTTAATTACTAGGGTAACTATTGATGTGTAGCACAAAAAAACCCCACATGGAGTCACTCTGTACTGTCTGTTACAGATACAGTGCAAGCAGAGAGCAAGCCCACCTCGGCCCCAGCATGACTTACCGTCCTCCTGTCAAAGCTAGCGCTGCCTTCCCTTCGCCCGAGCCACCAGTGAAAGGTGGCGCAGGGGATTCAACACACGAGCCGTTAACAGCACCACGTACTCAAAGGAGGTACTTGTCAAGGCCCTGGCAGTTACTATCCACACCCCAGCAGAAATAACCATAACAATTTTTCAGCTGAATAGACCTTAACACTGCCCTAACTGAGGGCAAAGGGCAATTCACATGTATTTTAATGTTAACATTAATTTAATTTTTATCAAAGAAATACCCAGATTTTTTTTTTTCATTGGTTAGTGTTTAAACCCTCTAACTTCCTTTTAGGAAGTATCTTTTCTTGTTCAGTGAAGCCAATAATAATTTTGCTTCTTGGAAATTTGTATGCTCTTAGGCTTTCCTTCTCTTTTGCTTCTTGGAAATTTGTGTGCTCTTAGGCTTTCCTTCTCTGGCCTCCTCTGGCAATTTTTATTATTTCATTGATCTTTGGTGAAAAAAAAATAGCTTTTTCTGAAATGCTGACAAAATGTGTACATGCTAATTTTACAACTAAAAAAACAAAAAAAATTCCGCTACAATCTTTTAATGCACAATGTTCCCTTATTCATTGTGTGGCCCTTCTCTAAGGAGAGAGTTCTCCGGATTCCGTCAGGGCCACTCCCAAGCCATGCCGGGTTCGCCAGCCTGCTGCTTAAGGATGGAACTGCTGAGCGGCCGGGCTGAGCGCAGGCCTGCAGAGCCCCACCATCCTCCCGGCGGTGCAGACTCCTCGGAAGAGGCGTTGCGTCCCTCACAGAATGGGCCTGGCAGGTTGGTGCAAGTAGAGAGCCCACAGAGAGACCTCCCGGAGCCTCCCGAGGTTATCATCTGCTGTATTTCTTCATCAGTAAGGACGACCACAGCCTTCCTTTTCAATTTCAGCCTTTTTTCTTTGTATCTTCTTGTCTTGTAGGAGAATCCTTTCGCCCCTCCCTCCAAATCAAGCCTTAAACCTATTCAAGGTGAAAGAAGAGAGGAAGGAAAATGAAAAAGAAACAAGAATATAGCCAACCTTTTTAATTAGAGTATATTGTACTTCCAAACTGGATACACTAGAAATTGGCAATGCAACGTAAGATGCAAAGGAATATACCAGTTACTGTCAAAATGACCCTGTACAGCCTTATAATGCAAAAAGCTTTATACAATACAAATTTTTATTAATGTACACAAGCCTTGACAGAATGATATTTGAACATAATACAACAAGTAAAAAAAAAAGACAGGAAAATAGTGCTGAGAACTTTAACTGAATTACCGAAATGAAAAGCACGCTAGCTTTTGTTAAAGAATGCATAGTGAAAACCAGTATGAAGTTACCTTTATGGTGGGGGGGAATTTATCAGAACTGTCGGTCATTAGTTGGTAGGGGCAACCTCTGGAGAACATTCCTTTCTTTAGCCTTGGACTGAAAACCATTTACTTTAATAGGCATGAGCTCTGATAAATACTGTATTTCTTTTTCTTAAAAAAACAAAAACCTCCTAACATGTTTTTCCTTACAGAGAATACTTCTGTAACGTGCCAGAAAGAATTAGTTTTTCCTTTCCAAAGTGCTAAACGCATTTCCCAGGTACATGAAAGGTTACTGTGTCAGAGACTGGTACGGCGGAATATTGTCAAACGTGTGACGTTCGCATGCTGACAGCTCACTCTTGGAAGTTCCAGCCCTATTTAAACTGCCGTTTGGTTTACATGAAGCGTACTCCCAATATTCCTACTTCTGCCTCCTGGACAGCTGTACTCTACCTGTCAGTCTGAAAAAATAAGCTGCGTGCTTTGGAAGTGTTTGCTCTTCTATGGTGGGGTCAGAGATATTCGCACTGAGTGTATTTTAGAGAACTGGTATCGTTTCTGGATGCAGACTGCATATTTCCTGCTGTCAAGATACTATATTTTTTTTTAGGCTTTGAGTGTTTACTAATACAGCAATCTCTATTTTGTCTGTACTCTGGGGCAGGGGTTACCAGGAGTTGAGATGGAGTGAAGCATGGCAAGCAGGGCACTGAGTTAGGCAGGTCACTTACAAAGGGTTGTACATACTCGGGAACAGATGGCTTTTCTTTACTGCGTAGACAGACAGAACTGCCACGTGCTCGTTAGAACCAAAACTGTCTGCTGGAATATAAACAAAATGATGGGACTTCTGTGTCCTTTTAATTAAGAATTCCAAATGATAACCTGCTGCTATTTTGGATACTTCCCCTTTGTAAATAGTTTCCAGTATGTTAACAGGAGCGCGCAGATTAGGATGTTCTCCCTGAACAGGAAGAGTCTGGTCATGACAGGGGAGAATGTTTGGCCATCTCAGTGCAAAACATATGTAGGAAACTTGCAAATAGGTTAAATGATGCAAATACTCAAAAAAGTATTTCTACACAAGCTTCATTTAAGAACTAATGAAGGGTGAGTTGTGTTTGTAGTCATGCATAAGGCTAAGAGCCCTTGGGGGCCCAGCCATGCCCTCCTGGACCGGGGGGTTGCTTCAGCGTTGTCACCAGCAAGGGGTCAGCTCCAACCGCCCTGCTGGATCCCCACAACCCCACTGCAACCTGCAGAAGAAGTTCCTTCAGGACAGCACGAGGGTAGGGGGACAGCATGTGAGATGTGACTCAGGGCACCTCCTACAGCGGCTTGGCCAAGGGACAGAGAGGGCACTCTGACAAAAGCTAGGTCAGACATTTCTAGTACCTGGTGACAGACAGCGAGATCCGAATCCAAGAGACACCGTTGGAAACAATAATCCAGTAAGAAAGCTTCTCTGTAAGTCACATGGTAATATTGAAATGTTTCACATTTTATACTTCTAATTTTAATGCAGAGTATTTTTAATCCCGATCTTCCTGGATATTAAGTTGTCAAAGAAACACAAATCAATTAACAGTCAGTTAGCTTCTCTTAATTTAAGATCACTCTTGGCATTTTGAGATTAACAAAGGTTACAGAACCAATCCGCATTTGCTTCTTCCTGCAATAAAGTGCTACATACAACATGTCATTTTAATGACCACAATTAGGAGCGTTAAGTAAGTATAAAGTTAGCTTCCTAGCAGTGTACACGCTATCCGCCATTAACGAAAAGAAGTATTACTAATAACATGGAGGGTATCGATAGGACTGCAGAATTTGCAAGTACGATTGAAATACTGAGGGTATAAAAGAGAACTGTATGGTTCAAACAGCATCTTTTTATAATGTTATATTTCAAAGAAGTTACTGGTACCTTTTCAAATAAACAGTTTTCTTACCTTCAGCCCACAGAGACATTTTTTCCTTTTTTTTTTTTTTTTTTAATTCCTCCAGATTTCTCCAAAAGTTTATTCAACTGTGGCATTGTTATGTGTGTGTATATATATATATATATAAAAAAATATTTATATGCCCTTTTAAACCAAAAGATGTATGCTATGGCCCAGACGTGGGTGTTTGTTACACCTGGGTAACCATTACGCATTGGGCCTGCCGTGTGGGTGTGTAGGGTAACACGCTGCACATGTGTGTGCACGTACATACGCTTTTCATTGTCATACTCTTGTCCTGCAGTGCTGAAAGCAACTTTTTTTCCTCAGCGGTTCTACCCCAAATCCTCAAACCTTGACGACTGGGTACAAGGCGTCAAACAACTCAAGGAAGCTGCAGACAGCACTGAAATAATGCCCCGATCCACCCTGAACCAAGCGTGACTCCTGCCGCAGCTCTGCTCAGGGGGAGACGGAGGGAGGGAGTGAGGGAGGGAGGGAGGGAGCAAGTGTGTGATAAGGGGAAAAGAATAATAATTAAATAAGCCAATACAAGGGATGTGCAAAAGTAATGTCACGGCACGCTCCAGGCAGACTCTCTTTCACGCGTCTGCACGCACACAAAGCCCCAGAATAAAATGCATCAATATGTAATTGTACAAGTGCTGATTGCCAATTAAGGACACTCTTTTTCAGCTTAACAAGACAAAATAGTTTCTTAGATAAGAGTACTGGGAACATGCCTCTGAAGGTAGAAGTATGCAGTAGGTCACCTCTTGAAGATTTAATAAAGCAGCTTTCATGTCAATGCAATAATTATACACACAGAGCCATCTTCTAAACTTTACTAACGATATAGTACAAGTGTTCGTTACCTCTTCGGTCTATGTTTTGCAGCAACGTATACCTGCTGGGTTTGTCGGGGTATTTTTGGTACAGAATGTAACTGCCCTCAGACAGTTTCTGCCCTTTCTGTTAGTCCAAGGTAGGCAAGGAAGGAGTGTTTAGGTGAAGAGGCACCTCCAGGTGCAGTCTGAGGTCTGGGTGGATGGAATGTGAGATCATAGTGGTTTTTGGGGAAAAACATTGTTAAAGGAATAAGGTGGGCAAACTCTGAGTTCCAGTATTTATCGAAGCACAGGGAAGTGCCGTTGATGGCCAAGGCTTTCACTGCCAAGTTCGGCTCTGCCCCGCTGCCGTGGGCAGCTGACCTCGCCCCTGTTTGCAGAGCCTGGGAGGCAGACATAACTGAGAGGGGTGACAGGAGGTTTCTGGAGCTGTTCACTGGTAGGAGTGGACTGGCTTCCTTGGCGATTGAATACTGGCCCTTCTTCTCCTCTTCAGAGCAGTCCCCATTCTGGTGCTTCTTCACGTGGCGGCTGAAGACAAAAGGGTGTGTAGTCTTGAACAGGCACTCGTCACAGCTGAAAGTCTGGCGTGGAGCATGCTTCAGTTTCTTGTGCAAGTTGAGATTGTCTTTGCGTTTGCAGCTGTAGCTGCACTGGTCACAGTGAAAAGGGCGCTCACCGGTGTGGACACGCACGTGCTCAATCAGTTTGTTGGCGGTCTTGGACAGGTAGCCACACTGGTCGCACTTGTAATGGTTGCCAAGGCGGTGTTCTCGGATGTGCATCTCCAGCTCCAGCTGATTTGCTTTCACTGTCTGGCAGATCCGACACTTGTACTCCATCTTGTAGTGAGTCTTCAGGTGGCACTCCATTGCTGCGGGGCGGTTAGTGGAGTAGATGCAGAATGGGCACCTGGCAACACAGCAGGGAAAGGCAGGGACAGAGAAAAGAGATGTCACTCAGCTTGAAGACCTGCATTCCTGGTTCAACCCTGTCACTCAGCCCTTCTCTGACCTATTGAAGAGGAGGAAAAGGCACTTAGTTCTCCATATAAAGCCCCTTTCGAATACTTGGTTCGCCCTCACACGTCTGTACTTAGAGGAGGTTTGCCCATTTCACAGTGGCAGAGCTCGCGCATTCCTAGGAAAACACTGACTGAGGCTGAAGGAGCATCCCCTTAATCTACTGGCTTACCTTGAGGGGGAAGCCTCTGCAAAGCAGGCCCGGTAGTGCAGAGTGGGTGACTGATTCACAGGTACTTTGTGTAACGACATTCCTAGTGTTTGCACAAAGTCACTTTGGCCATTTTTTCCATTAAGAAGTGGTTTAAAGCGAGTGTTTACAGATGAGTATGAAAGCAGCTGTTTAAGTAAAGATGGAATAAACTTGTAATACCGCATGTACAGCAAAAGCTTAGGAAATAGCTTTTACGTGACCTTGCACAATAAGCTTGCTGGGTATCCGGGTAGGAGCAGCTGAGACCTGGTCTGCTAGGGTGATGCGTAGGGATTCCCATTTCTGGGAGACAAGCGAGCTGTGCTCGAAGTGTGTGTGGGGGGGGTGTTTGGCAGCGGTTGCCCACCACCACCTCTAAAAGCAGGAATTGTTCCTGTGTGGGAACAGGATGTGGGCTCCGCTTACTCACAGCGGCAAGCGTCCGGACCGGGGTGGACATGGCAAAGGGCCTCGCCCCTGGTTCCGGCACCAGGAAGGGGCAGGAAGGCTGGAGGAGGGATTCCTGAAAGCTTGGACGGGAGCCTGAGCTTAACAAGCGTGGGGCACCAACAAACCCAAAACATCCTTGCTTTTGCTTTATGTAGCAGAGAGGAGGTTGGTGAGGACAGCCACCAGGCAGGGATCTCTGCTGCATTAAACAAAGCACCCTCCCTTTCACATCTAACTGGTGAGCTGAGGGAGCAGGTCTAGCTACAAAGATACAACGAAGGCACCCGGCTGCTGTCTTACAGATGTCTCCGCCTGCGTTCACTGTTCAGCCCGTCTGCCAATTGTGTTGTACCATTTCAGATCATTTCCAAGCGGAGATCCTCTCTCCCCCTGTGTGTTTTCCCCTGCTACAACTGGTTGCATATACAGAGCTAATATTAATCTACCTGCTAGTCGAGGGACTTTTGAGCACAGTGAGGTATACAGGAGGACAAACAGATACTAAAACATCTGGACACTTTTCCTGATGCGCATCAAGTACTCTGATCCAGAGAGGGAGCCTGGCACTGAGGCTGCTAACGTGATTAGCTCTATTGCAATAGAGGACTCAGCTGTCTATGCACACATACCTCTCCTGGGCTGGGTGCTCTCTGGATCAGAATCTCAGATTTTGACCTGGAGCTGGAGGAATCATGTTTTTTTCTCTTCCCCCACAGCAAACAGGAGACAGAAAAATACAATTTACTTAGATCTCTTCAGGCTCTTCTGGATGCCTTAAAAAAAAAATAAATCAGAGCTTTTTCTTAGGTGCAGCTTTCAAGGTACCTAATTATTACTTGAGTTGGGCAGGAATAACTTATATAGACTGAGAAGCCCATTCTGGCAGGAAGGTCTGAGTCATAGGTTTTTCCTTGCTAACTAGAACAGATTCTGTGCAGCTTAAACCCAAAGTGCACTAGACAACTGCTCTGTACGCCCAAGACAGACAGACATCCCATCGTTCTGGCACACTACTTGTTTCTCAATCTGGTCTTCTTCCCAGATTCAGTCATCACATCTCAAGTGACCGCAGATCTGAGCTCATGGAACTACTGAGCTGGAGACCAGACGCTGCCTGGCAAACAGAACCAGTTTTCAAAAACTGCAGCACGAACTGCTAGAGCTACTTGTGGTAAGGTTAAACATGGTGTGCTCATCATGCGACAGTTACAGTGCACTGGAAACACTGGTTTGCTGAGCAAGAGCAACAGAGGGAGGGAGTCCTGTGCTGAACCGTAGCTGGGCTCAGAGTGCCTCCAGCCTCTTTTCCTGCAGCAGCTGGAACAAGCAGAGAGCAGGGATGTGATGTGCATCTTGCATAATGTCACACTGCCCACCCACGGAGAGCAGGCATACGGCCCCACAGTCACTCCTTCCCTCAGGGGTCCAACTTGGACATAAGGGCACACTCACTGTCTAGAAACACTGCCTTAGCCAAAGGGCTTTTTTCCTAAAAGAGCGTATTACTCGTTACATGTTAGTTTACACAATAGTGATCATTCCGGGGCATTGAAAGCAAAGCAGGAAGCATCAAGTTACTAATTCTTGGAGCGGACTGACTTTGCATTACAGTCGACAAAGGTCAGAACCTTTAAGGTCATAACTTCATCCCTAGTTGCAACAACTGTACGGGATTTAGTCTCTGAGCCAGGTGCAGAATAGAGCCTGTGCTATGTCCTCTCCTTTGCTCTGATGCTTTGACAAAAACCTCTCCTAGTTTGCCAACACCTCTGGGCAGTGCTGCCTCATTCTCTGTAGGACCCACCACGTACTGTCTCCTCCTATTTGATTTGAACAGGGAAAGGACCGTGGTTTGTTACAGCTCTAAGACCAGCGGATACTACATCTGCTGCCAGCTTACCGATGTGCTATAACGATGCAAGCCTACACTAAAGGACTGGGCTTGGGTCATCTAAATAAAAGGAAGCTCCAAATCTGGATTATCAGACATTTAACTAACCCTTTCTAATTGACTCCCTTTTGTCCTGCCCCACAGTATTAGAGGTGCTTAACACAGTAAAAGTTTGTGTACTTGCTTTCCTTACTTGAGCCCACCGGTGGGGACAGTGTGGCATTTCTTGTGCTCCAGTAATTGTTCAGGTGTCTTCATGAACTTGTGGCACACATCACACTCAAACATCCGTGTGATCAGGTGGATTTGCAGATGGCGTTCAAACATATTTTTTGTTTTACAGACGAAGTTACAGAAAACACATTCAAAGCCTGAAAAACAAAACAGGAAAATGTATTCCTTACCTTGTGGTCAGATGGATGGCATAGACAGTGACAGTTTGTATTTGCTTAACAGTGTCTTACCTTTCTCTGACTTCTCTTCAGTGTTCACTGAGGTCTGGCTACCAGGCACTACAGAAATGACTAGCAGGTTGTTTGAACCCTTGTTTTTTGGGGTTATATCTGCATCTTCTTTGCTGTTGGCAGAGTCGCTCAGTGCTGACAGCGAAGATGAAGATGGACTGTTAGATTCACTGGGTGTCTTGCTCTCTTCAGCTGAAAAGCAGGAATAAAGAGCAACAACTAGTACAGCAGATTAGATGGAATCTCAGTAATCCTGTTTTAAATTTCAGGAAAAATATTTATATTTAAAGTTAATTCAAACATGCTTATAAACAAGTCTGAAATTAATCTGTTAAGAAATCATAGTTGCATCTCCGTCTTTTTTATTAGTGTTTGCACTCAGTTTATCCTAGAATTGAATCTGTCTGTAATGGCAGTGGGAAGGCGGCATGCAACTCTACCTCATTACCAGGCTTAAAAAAATCCCAAGAAAATGCTTTGATCTGCTCAGAATTCAAAAACAATAAAGAATTCGTCAGTCAGGAAACAGAGCTTCTGTAGGTTTGGGGTGAAGAAACCAAAAGTGATGACTCGCCCCAGCTAAACTTCCCCTACCTCTTGTTTATGTGGGTCCAATGGCTAAACCTGGGAGGAAGGGCAAAGGAGAATAAATCTCACTCGTTGTACTGAGCAGTGTCCTCAGTAACGGTTGTAAGAGATAACCCTGTGGTCTCAAGATTTATCTGTTTTTATTAGGACCTCTCATTGAAGATAAAAACCCCATGTTATTTAACTGGATCTGAAGCTGAAGCCCATCAGAGTTTCCTTATGTGTACAATAAATGCATGAAGTTCAAATCCCAAACGCTACCACACGCTGGAAATGAACAAGAGTGAGAGTTCTCACATGAGAACTGCCGTGAGCCAACAAGGCAAGGCTGGGCAAATTATTACCTCCCACCTATGTCTTGGTTTAACCAGAGCTGTATTAAAAAGGGACTTTACTAAAACTTCATATTCTCTGTGTGATAAAGTACTCTGATCAAGGTCTTCGCAAACACCAGCACCTATGTGCCTAGCTTTAAACTGATGAGTGGCACCTGTAAGTCTAAGAGAAAACCGTAGGAATGCACTAATGAAATCTGATGACTCGAGCTGTCAATAGGGAAGAAGACTGGGATATCATATAGAAAGATTCACTGCCTTTGGCGACCAAAGTAATAGAAATGGAATGAAATTTAATAGTACAGAGTACAAGGTTATGACCTGAAGGGCCAGTAACAATAATTTTTGCTACAAATGAGGAGTGCTTAAGTTGGAAATATTCAAGGAAAACAAAAGAAGAATTTGAGCAGAAAATGGGATGAATATGAGCAATCAGTGAGGGGGATCATTCAAGGAAGGTAAATATGATCACAGAAATGTTCTTGTGTGAGCTATTCCCAGTAGCTGCTGCTGTTTTACACTGGCACCACTACCTATTTCATTTCACCATGTACAGCTGTGATTGCAAATGTCAAGAGCAGGGGTTCTAACAAGAACATATGCAATGAGTGATTGGTACAGTGAGAAAACTGTGTTTCATATAGGAAAAGGCTCAATGTACATTTAGAGGGGAGAGATTTGTTCTCCATAAATATACTAAGGGAATAAATACTGTGGAGGCAGAGAAGAAAAGTAGAGGGAGCAAGAGGTGAACTGCTGTTTCAGATAAAGGACAGTTCTGGCACAGGAACAACATATGTGTATTCGGATTATTAGTAAGACATATGTGGGAAATTTTAAAAAGGTCCCTGATCTTTAATGCAGGAAAATCTGTAGCTGCCTGTCTGTAGAAGTAGTTGGTTTAAAACAATTATACTTGTTTGAAGACAAATGCCACCATCCTTACAAACAGGCCTCTTATGACTTGGTAACACCAAGTGACCCAGAAAATCCACTCCATTTTTCACTCCCTGTGTTCACCATATATGTAAGCATTTGGCTGAACTGCCAGGTGAATGGCTCAGTTTGACAGGGTGAAGGAATAATAAAGAGTTTTTTGTCTTTCTTCAAAGGACAAGCAGCGGCTCCAATCTTTTCGCCATGATAGGAAGATACAGTAGAGTACAGCTCAGTTTTGAGCTCCAATGCGAACTTTTCACGTGCCTATGGGTGGTGCTTTTCATTTGCCTTCACTTTCTATATATAAAGTGGAGTTAGATGCAAACACCTCCGATAGCCGGGAGTAGTGCTGAGAGCTATGCTGGCATAAAAACCCATGAGGGCTTTCCAGTAGTTTGTATTTCTGGAGTTACATTTAAATTATGTATCTGTGAGCACAAACAACTGCATTCTTCTCTCGCTTCTCCACTCTTCCCTGTTTTCCCAATTTTATTCTTGGTAGGACAGGGAAAGCAATTTACCAATGGAAAAATTGTGCTGGATGGAATTCAGGTTCAGTATTGTCAACACAATTGTTAGTAGTTTGTGGCAGCAAAATGCTTCTGCCTGGTGCTGTAAGGGAAATTAAGTAAAATGATTCTAATTTTCTTCTCAAATTATGCCAGACTTCATTAGTTGGACTAAACATATGGAGCTTGTTTGAAAACCGCTATTGCTCTTGTCTTTGGATATTAAGTGAACAGGACCAGGGAGAGAACACATGACTTGTTCTGTTATTTAATAAAAAATTACATTTATGGTATTGCTGAATCACAGTGTCAACTAAACATCAGCGTGAAATTCCAGACTGATAGACTGGGAGGCAAACACACTGAAGAACAAAGCTCAACATATTGTGTATTTCAAACTTACAGCCAGGTATGCACAATTAGCACACAAAGTCACCTTATCATCACTGAAGTCAAACCACAATTTTGATGAAATAGTAAACCAGTCAGAAAAACAAATGAAGTTATGCTGACTTCAACAGGAGAGGGGATTTGGGGGATAAGGCGACTAGGAAGAAGGAGGGCTAAGTAGTACTTCATTTATTCCACTAAGCTTGAAAATTGATCTGCACTACCAGATTATGTGCCTGGCTGGAGTCCAATTCACTTCAACTTTGAGAGATCAGGCCTTAATTAGCAAGAGTTTCAGTGAAAGTAGAGTGCTAATGGGAAGAGTGAAGGTTGCACCTAAAAAGCAAGGAAGAGGGAGATCACTGCAGCTGGGACAGAGGGATCATCACCTGTGTGCTTGCTGTTGACATGAGCCTTCATATCTGCCTCTTCCATAGTGACAAAATCACACGCTGTACAGCAAATGGAGAACATCCACTGCTCTTTATCCACGTGGAGGGACATATGACTGACAAACTGGACATTCATCTCTGTCTCAAACCCACACACATGACAGCTGCAGGCAGAAGGGAATTCAAGAGCAAGAAACATTAAAAAACAAACCACAAACAGAAGCATGTTGCCTTTCTCTGAATTTGCAAGAAAAAACTCACTTGCACAGATTTCTTCTCTTCCTCACTGTTGAATGTTCACTGCAAGATTCTTTTGTCTGCTGAACTGCCTTTGAACTGATGGCCATGCCAACGTGATTAAGGGCAGGCACAATGCAACAATCCTGTACATGCTATGATGACGCTAAATAATCATAAAGTTAATTAAAAACTACAGAATCCAGATGCTGCGCATCACCTAGCTGATTCCTTTGGGCAATACGAGGCATTGCAGCTTTGCCAAGACGTTTAGTATGGCTGATACACTGACAAACAGAGAGCTTGCTGCACACTCCAGGAGTTATTTTCAGGCCCTGGAATGGTTCCCATGCCAGACTGGGATCTTGTGCAAAACTGCCTGGCAGTTTCAGTGTAAGCAAGTAAAAATGGGTTCAAACATTTCTTATGCTTGACTGGAAAACAGCAGTCATCAACTATGCAAATAATTAGCAGGGATACAGATTTCACAGCCAGTGCATAAACAGAGTGATATCAAGAGGCAATGGAAAGGACCCTTTAATTTAACTTCCCTTGCAGAGTTCTCCTCTTGCTTTGATTAGGCCATTAACATTTAAAACAAGCCAAAAACATTTTAAAAGACGTATACTCAAGGGCACTATTTTGCTTTCCCAGGGGGATGGACTAGATAATCTAATCCAGCAGGTCTCGTTTATATCTTACTTCTATGATTTTGTAATTAAATCTGCTCTTGGCACTTTGACTAAGAGTGATCTGGTAATCTGCTTGGCCACTTGAGTGTATATCACAGTTTGCAGAGCGCACAACAGTGCATACAACAAGCAGAATGTCCAAATATCCATTTTACCTGGGCAATTCCTTATAATTTTTCAGGCCAATTCTCCTAAAGGTTTTCCTTCTTTCATCATGTTGGTCACTGAATGTATATACCTCTATCAAACGGAGGAAATGTGTATATCGATATAACAATTCTTATTATGCTTTATCAAACGGAGGAAATGTGTATATCAATATAACAATTCTTATTATGCTTTACTGTTTGATTCCATACATTTGGCTGAAAACAATGGAGTTGTCAGAGGAAACTGGAAACACAGTGCTCTACATTTGCCGTGAATCTGTGTACACAAAATTTCAAAGAACACTGCATAAAAAGTTAAAGAGGCTTCTAAGAGCCCGTCTGCTTCACAACACTTGAAAAAAAACCAACCCCACACCAAACCCCAGAGTCTTTCCCAATGGCTGGCCAAGTCAAACAGCATGAGGCAGCCAGCTGGGTTTTGCTGCTTAGCCCAAGTCAGATACAGGCAAGACAGATACTTCCACCGCAGTTTCCACCCTGTGACACCAGAAGGGTGGCCCTGTAACGCGTCCTTAGCAGGCAGGTAAGACATTCAGATTCCAGCGGCTGGGGTGCAGCCCTTGTCTGGGTCCTCACCTGTAGTAATAAGGGTGCTTCTTTCCATCGCTGCCTTCAGAAGTGACAGCGCTGACAATGTCCTCAGTGTCTGTACTCACCAGCTTCACAGAATGGACGGTCAGGTGCTGGTTCAGATTAGCACGGCACTTAGCAGCATAGGGGCACAAGTGGCATTTGTATTTTCTCTCTTCTGAAAAAGAAACGGAAAACCTTAAATGTATACTTCATTTTGAAGCAAGCTATTTTTAAAGCTGCCAGTAACCAAGTATGCATTCCTTCGGAGCCTTTTCCGAGCAGCTTTCAGAATGAGGTACTTTGGAAGCTCAACATTTTGGAAACTTATAGGAGTTCACAGCAATTACTCAGAAAAAAAACTAATTTGGAGGTAGTTTAGGGCTATTTTTTTTTTTAACTTACTCTACTATTTGTAGTCAAGTAATATAAAACTTCATAAACTGGGAAACTGGGGCAACTGCTGCTCTGAGAGCTGCAGCAAAGCCAGTAGAGAAACAGGTCAATAATCTACAACTACTTCCTTTACTTAGCATCTTTGATTCTTGGGTCCAGTTATTCTTGAGGTTGCTCGTATGATCACTTGCAGACAGTGGATGGTTGATGATTTTGTGTTAAAATCTGAGGGTGGGGAGGAAAGGTAACGCTGTATCATTAGGCCAGTTCCAAAGACAAACTAACAAAAAAACCCTAACTCAAAGAACAGTTGAAGAAATGAAAAAAATTCATCATGAATTTCTGATACTTCACAACTTAAACAATTTTAAATAAAAATGATTTATTTTAAATTAAACATTTTTAAATCCTGGCACCACATTTTTTGTGCGTGCCAGGCTTTATTTTGCAAAGAGCTGACATTACATCAGCTTTCATAACTTTTCCCTTTGAGGAACTGTTGCTCTAAATTTGAAATATAATGCTACAAGTGTTAGGGGAAAGGCATTCAACAGAGCAGCTTAGGACTAAGAAAACCCCACGATGCCACGGAACAGAGCATTTGAACCTTGTCAGCATGGCTCTACTAGATGGTACAACATACACTGGCGCTACAGCAGCAATATTTTTCAGCACTGCATCAGAAATCTTGCTTTCAAGACTTATTTTGTGCAGTTCACCTCAGCAGGCTGACAAGGTGCATCTTCCATATAAAAAAAATCATAGTTGATTCGAAGCTGATTCACTTTAAGAAAGTTGGTATGGGGTAGAACAGTCCCTGTTCCTCTCAGAACAACCGGATGATGAGAGCAAGGATGAATGAATGACAGTTTCACCAGATCTGAAACACAAAGGCCAAATCTTTTGTTGTTCAGTGACACTTAAAAAGCTCACGAGGTGAACAGAAGAAAGGCTGTGCCTTCTCTTCAGAACTCCATTAACAGGCTTGGTTAACCAGTTTGTATCTACAGGCTGGTCTACTGGAATCTGGACAAGCTTGAACATACACATTTTGTAAAGGTAAATAACAAGTAGTCTGTAAAGAAATAAAATGTCAGTTAACTCCCTGAACACCACTCCGACATTATGGCCTGTTTCTGCACTTGACTTTGCTCTCACACACTCTCCTGCTTACCTTCTTCCCCCTCCACTTAAACAAACCATAACAAACACACAGATTTCCTCAGTGCTGGATCAACAACCACAAAGCATCGGCTTACCTGTGTGCAGCGAGAGATGCCGGGACAGAGCAGCCCCAGCTTTTCTGTTTCTATGCCAAAAACCACATAAACAGAAAGTCATATTTTAAGAACTCTGAAGACTTGCAGATTTCATCCTGTAGGTGTCATACAAAATGCAACACCTCAGCTGCATGCTGTGTGATGCGGCACACGAGTTCATGGAAACTCCCAATGAGGGAAAGGAAATTAATTCTTCATACAGCATCTTTCATACATACTCTAAAGCAGACACTTAGGCAAAGTGTTCCAGACACAGACATAGTCAAAAAGTTAAACCAGATGATGTAAAGAGCGAAGGTCACGAGTGAGCAGGGCAAAGCATTAACCTCTAATTCTGTTTTTGCGGAGACACCACTCCTTTGGCTTTTTCAATCACCCAACTTTCCCTGGTGCATGAAGGAGGCCTGGTCTGAGATGGTGGTCTGTTTTACACTGGATTATTATTCACATCTGAAGGAGGATTTCCAAACCTTTTCTTTTCTGCTGACACAGGAATGTTTGCTACATGAGCAGTCTTACATTGACGGAGAACAGATGATTGCTCAGAAAAACGTTAAACCAAGAGGACACAGCACACCAGTGACCGGGTGGCATCCGGCGTAAGCTCTACCCAGCACCTGCTGTGCTCAGGCATCAAAATCTCCAGCAGCTTAGAGGGTCATCCATTGAAAAACTGAGACCCAGAGCAAGCCATTATCTTTAAAGAAGTGTTCTTAATTCTTCCAGGAACATAGAGAATCTGCCATACAAAAAAGAAACTCTACAAAGCATAAAACACAGACGTGAAGGCACTCTGTAAGGAAGTAGAGAGAAAAGGACTGGGAATGAGGAAGAGAAAAAGTAGTGCACAGTGCTTCAGGAAGTTAAAAGCATGGGCAGTTTTGATCTGGACGGAAGGGAGCAGAGAGCCGATGAAGCCTGGGGATAGCAGTGATACTACTTAGCTGAAGAAGAGAAACGGTATCAGCAAGCCTTGTGTGAGGAAATACTCTCTGCAAGGGTTCTGCGGCCTGAGGAGCAGGGACCGCTGTTGTAAGAGGTGAACAAAACTGCAAGGGTACTCAGCAGCTTTCCGAATACAACAGCCAGTGGTAAGGGAGCTTGGTTTAAGACTTCTGGTAAAAGACCTTCTGTTTCCACTGGAATGAAATATGCAACATGCAGAGCACCTTTCTCTAAATCAACACCGCCGGTGGGATTGCTGCCCAGAACTAGCTCCACAGTGCACGTGTGCATTCCGTGATGGAGAAAAAACCTTTGGATGGGATCTCCAGGTAAACAGGAGGAGAGGAGCTGAGGACAGGAGCACAAGAACATCTTACTGAGTGTAAGTTACTATCGTGGAAGCTGGCACAAGCCAGCAAAATCTTCATCAGATGAAGCACTGAGGAATAAACACCCCCCTTGTACTGGCCACCCCTCACTGACAGAGTCACCTACCACTGCGAATTTGACTGCCATGCCTGAAAGAGTCTCTTCGTCACAGATGGGTGTTAATAAAAACAATGCCTCATTTGGGGCAGATATTTCACATAGCAATCTCAGCAAGTTTAGGGATGGTCATACTTGCCAGCCCCTTTTCAGCTGCTGTTACATTCTCCTGTGACCCTGCAATATTCAGCACACCAGAGGAATTATGAGGCACCTCCGAGTGCTACCACCCAATAACACATTTTTCTTAAAAGAATTTCTAGCTAGAGAACAACTTCTGCCTATTCAAAATAGTCATTTTGTCAAATTAAAAAGGAAGACCCCCCCATCCCCTAGAGGCTTGAAGTGACCCATAACCCTCAAGAACTTGAATAAAGAATGATTCTTTTTGTTACTATCCTTGAGTTCAAAACATTGGAAAAATCTGACTCTGTACTAATGCTACAGATATTTTAGCAGAGCTTTTTGAGTACATAATCAAAACAGTGCTTCAAAAGAGGAATGTGGTAATAATTATAAGAGAAGGTCACAAGGGTGTAGGTTGCTTCAATCTGGTCACAACAAAAATGAATTAATTGGGACACATACCAAACAAGCAGACTCAATTAAGTAAATAAGTCTCTTAATTCACTTCAGCATTAGTCATCAGCCCTCTTTTATCTGTTATGAAGAAGAAAGATGATATCCTTTTCCCTGTGGTGGATTTACAGCCATCAGTTCTGGGGAGCTCATGGGAAGCTGGAAGAAGATCAGCCTTCTGATTATCTTGAGCTGGTGAAAGCTACTCCCTTGCAAAGCAGCTGCGTATTTTTCATCAATGCAAAAGACGATACTGTAGGTGTTTTGAAAGTACTTCTGTCTAAAGATTTATTCCTGGAGTCCTAACTACAGCGCTTCTTTCTTCTCTTTCCACTGAATATTCCCTCTGTAGCAAAGTGTGTTTTCTATTCAGCATGCTTCTTAGCTTCTTTGTGGCAAACCAGAGTTGGTCTCTGGTGCAACAGGAGCCTAGCACTTCGTGGAAGATTTCTCACCTCCAAGGGAAACCATGTGCTTCCACCCATCTTACTCTCTGGACAACTCTGTCTGCAGCCTGGAAACTGGAGCTCTGTGTCCAGACAGTGGTCCAGAAATCTCCCCAGAACATACCCAGCGACTGACCTCGCCAGTAACCTGAGGAATCAGGTGAGTCAACATCCACATGCAATCCTTGGGCTCTGTCTCTAATTAATTCTGGGGAATAGTGTTTTCTGTGAAGTGAGTACAAGTTGAGTGACTCTGAGACCATAATACTGGTTTTGTGCAGAGTGTTCTCTGCATCCCAAAGCACTCTAACAAGACAGTCAGCATCATTATCCTTTAAGAATGCCTTGCACAGTGGCCAGGAAGAAGATGGACTGAGATCAACTAATGTTAAATAATAAATCACCATTGTGAGAGATGTCCCACAGAAATCTATCTTCCACCATGACATCCCTAGACTGAACTGAAGGGGAAAAAAAAGACAAAAAAACCTCAACTTGATGTAAGATTTCTGCTTTAAATGAATATTCCACAGCAAATTCCAAAACTTTTATGTTCGAAAAGCACACACGACAAAATAATATTGAAATTAAGTAAGTAATAAACTGTATTCCTGTATGGGTTTTGGATTTTAAAACAAAATATGCTTAGTAAAATGAAAAGCCTCAAAGTTCTCCAGTACATCATTAAAAAGTAACGGAAAGACTAAGACTTAGTATATTACAGGCTAGTAATAGAATTACTTTGAAATTATTTTGCATAGAAGTCTTAAGAGCTAAAAATTTTATGCAAAGGTAAAACTTAATTCTCAATGAGATTTAGTGAAATACATCTTTATGGACACCTTTCCTGCCCTTCTGCGTCACCTGGTATCATTTCCCTACTAACCTCAAGTCAACTTTATAATGAGTAGCTATGTAAAGCTGATCATCCAAGATGGGGTTAGAAACTGCTGGGACTGCCACCATCTGTATTTTCCCTGAGGTGAGGATAAGGTGTACATCAACTGCAGAAATACTGTTCTGTCGCTCCTCTTACCCCCCCAAATAGACTAATTTCTGACAAACAAAGCCCAGCAGCTTGACAGAGTTACCCCTTTACTAAGCTGTTGGACATAATTCTGAACGTGTATGTGTTTTCAGTTTTCACATTTAGTGATTTTTTTTTTATCTTATCCTCAAACTGGTAATATTAATATGGAGAGTGCATTAACCACCCCTTCTGAAAAGCCTTGACTTTTGTCAAGAAATGCTGACAGAGAATACCATATCTGGTTGAAGCTGTAACTGAAGAAGAGAACAAAGCCTGACCTGAATACATAAGTAACTGTCTAGAGGCACCAAATCAGCCTTGTGACTGCTAGTAGCTGTCACACACAAAACGTTCTCCAGAGACTGGCTTTGGACTCTGATATGCGGTACTCTGATTACTTATTTTCTTTCACTAAGCTCATGTATTCTTTCAATTACTGCTTCACAGTGGTTTATACTACATTATGTTTTAATCTGTTGTTCAGTGCCATGCCTACCTTTACATCTTTATACTAATAACTGAAAGAACAAAACCACTATTTATCTGAAAAAGGCAAAGCTAAGAAAACAAACAAGAAGTATGCTGAAGTGTCATTCAAAGAGGACCAATTCATAGTTATAACCTTTGCTGGTTTATCACATCCTATAACTCACTTAAACAGCTGCTTCTCTCTTTCATCATCACACCTCCATAGACCTTGGAAGCAACAAAATCCACAAGGACAGATCTTTATGGTCACATGGAATCCTACAGATATAAATTAAATAGATTGTCCTTTGCAATAAGTATTCTTTAAAGAGGTGGAAGTGAGAGGAGTTTTAACAAGCAAGGTCAAAAATTTATTCTCTTCCCATTCTTCTGGAAGTATATGTCATATTTATACTTTGGGTTATTCAGACAGTTTGACACCATACAGATGGTCAAGAAGAATTCAGGTAAGCAATTTTGAAAATGAAATGAACAGAAATCATGACGTGAAGGGAGAAAATAGAGTTTGGTGCTTAGACTATTTTCAATCAATTCTGCTTGCACGCCAAATGTGATGAAGAAAACATGTTACATTTCTAGGGTATCTGGCAACGGAATAGCCACCCAGGGCGAGTCTGAGAGCTAAGAGGAAGAGATGGCCAAACTTGGAACAGGAGGTGAATTGGGAAAAGGTAGGTGATAGCTGATGCAGAAAAAGAGGAAAGGCACTGTGCAGTACCTCTCTCTTCATTCTCCAGGGGATAAAACTTGATGTGAAGAGTATGAGCTCATGGCAAGAGTGTGAATGCTACCAGTAGCGCACATGTCCCACAGCAAGGCACCTCGCTTTGCTCTGAAAGACTGAGTATATTAAACAGACATCAGATAACTTTTGGTTACTACCAGCCTGAAGTGGATTGCTGCTAGCCTGTCCTTTGTGACCTTTGAAGTACCCCATGTTTCCCCAAGAGGTAAATACACTGTATGCAGCTTTATATAAATGTCACACAATCTTGTTCCATTTGTAAGGTTATTTCTACTTTGTTATGTCTAATAGACAAAAAGTTCAAGAAATTATTTATTCAGAAACAAGGTATTCAGGTCAGGCAATCATGGAAACTGCTTTAAAAACATTTATTTGGTCAAAGAAATTTTCTTTCCTTCTTCTGTCTGTATGCCTCTATGTTATTATAATGTCTTTCTACTTTTTGCGGTGTCCCCATCATCACAGATGCATTTTATTGCTTTGGAGCCTTCCACTTACATGTTCATCTATCACCTCTGGCAAGCACACTGTATTTAAAAATCAAGAACTCCTTTTGTGAAATATTAAAAATTAGGGCTCTGCTGCAAGTGTGTTTGCCAGAAGCCTGCAAAAGGCTCGCAAGCTCAAAAATATATTGACTATATGAAATTGCAGCACTCCAAATTCTATATATCTTACTCCCTTCCCAACTTACTTTCACAAAGGTTTTATTTGTAGCACCAGAATTCCTGCTTCTAGGAAGTCAGTTAATATAAACAGAGGAACCCTTCCAGATACTGCAGTTCCCAACTAAGATATGTCTTGCAACTTATCAAAGGTATCTGTGATCCTGAGGTGGTCCTGCAGTCTTCGTTTGTCACAGCAGCCTCTCTGGTCTTATTTTAGGATGTATCTTTTACTGTGAGCAGACTCATCCACTATTAGCCATGGATAAACAACTGCTTTTTAGGCATAAAAATTTTCTATATTCCCCACAAAGATAAGTAAGAAAACTTTTTTTTTAACTCAAGCTTCAGCTGAAATTGCAGGCTGGTTTGCCTGACCCCTTTGCGGTGTATTTTTTAATGCCTTTTTGCAGCTATTAAAAGCAGTCAGTGCCGGCCCCTCTAATACCAGTTCAGGGGCATCTGTTCAGACAAACCCAGGTCCCCTTGTGTGTGTTGTGGGCTGGCCAGAGGTAAGCTTGCACCAGCCTGGAAGCCTTCTAGCGCTGGCAGCAGAGTCCTGTGCCCAAGCTAGCACATTTGAAGCATGAACAAAGGAAGGGTCTATGTAGCCATGCTCTCAGTCACAACATGCACCAGGTACAAAAAGTTATTTGGAGGAATTTAACAATAATAATAAAAAAATAAAAATTACACAAAATTATTGCTCAAAGAACCCTATTCCACTTGTGAGCTGGGCATGTACTTTTTTGTTTCATAAGTCCTGAAAAACTGAAGATAATCAGACAGTCTGAATGACAGAACAACTGCACAGAGGAAGCACAGAAAGTCTCCTTGATAAATAAAAAACTTTACCAGCCAATGCTCTTATTTTTTTCTCAAATACTTTTGCAAATATCTAACATTACTGTGGAGTATGGTAAAAAGCAGTAATGTTGTATCCTTGATATGGAAGAAATAAGAACCCAAGTGATTTTATGTATCAGTAGCATGGTGCTTAAGTTACTCTTTCTAAAAACATCAACCAGGCAACTTGGAAATATTGCAATAAAAAGCTTGCATGAACCACAAAAAGAAACATTAATATCATGCACAGAAGTATTCCAGATGTGCAATGATAGGCAAGAACACTTGAAAACGTCACTGAGAAGTGATAAAGATGTTTGGGTTTGTGAAAAGAATAAAAACAAATACAAGATGAACTTTAGAGATGCCTCCATAGAGGAACATGGGAAAACAGTGAAGACCACTTCACTGCTAAGACTGAGCCCATTGCTCAAAAATGGACAGACAGAAGCAGCGGGAGACAAACAAAACCTGAGTCAGGGCAAAGACAAGGTAGGGACACACTGACTTCAAAACACAAGGCCACTCCTCACCTTCTACCTTTGTGTCAAAACTAACACCTATTTTAACTTCACTTATACAACAGAAGACTTCTGAGTAAACAACGAGGTTTATGATAATCCTCATCCGCATTACAAAGCTTTGAGATTTGCCTTTATTGTCTGTATTAAGGTTAAAATGTAAGAAACAACCAAGAATAGAGAAAATCCTCAATTCAAAACTTAAATCAGTCTATGTAAATTCTGTGCAAGGTGGCTGGAGTTGCAGATTTTTAAGGAACCCTAAAACTGCAATAATGTTGCAGTAATTTCCTGAAAATTATTTTTACAACCCGTATACTATGACATCAAGTTGAGGATAACACTGGACAATACCCTCTATTCCCTCCAACCTGTATTATCCACTGTACTGCTTAAGCATAAAGCATAAACAGGATTGTCTTAGTGGTAACTTCATTCCTTACACAATAAAAAAGAATAGAAAAATGTAAAATTCCTGACATATGCAAAGTAAGGCCCTGAACTGTGAATTTACTGGCCAGAAAGAGGTAGTCATGGGGAGTCCCTGTAGCTCACTGCACAGGCTCCCGGGAGTTCCTCAATCATTCACAGTTGTCACATTGAAGAAGGTCAGTTTGGTTTCATGGCTATAGATGAAGTAATGCAATATGGCCCAGATGGAAACTGGCCTGTTTTTTTCACTGAGGGAGTTGAGACATTGCAAGAAAGGAATAGGAAGCACCAACAAATCCGCTCCCCCAAAAGTGTTTTAAAAGCTTACCGGATCATTGTTGACCAAGAGAACAGTAGCATCATAACTTTACTTCTTTTGCTTGTTTAGAAATACAAGCTATTGTAAATAAAGTTCAAGTCTGCATCTGTTGTCAGAGAAAAACCTGATAATGCGTTCTCTGTTACCTTTGCACAATATATTTATTTCAGTATAATGACAAAATATCCTCCTGAAAATATCTTCATGATAACAGTAAGATGTTGTCCTGGGTTCAGCCAAGACAGGGTTAATTTTCACGAGGAGCCAGGAGAGGACCCAGCCAGGTGGGCTGACCCAGCCTGGCCAGACAGAACAGGGTATTCCATACCATGTGCCCTCATGCTGGGTTCTGGTTAGGGGAGAGCGGGGCGGCGGGAAGGCAGTTGGCTTGGGAGCAGTGGTGGTGAGAGTGGCTCTATGCATTCTGTTGTTTTGTGTATTCTCCTTATCTGTATTGTTGTTGTTACTGTTTCTCCCTTTGTTTTGCTGTTCTGTGAAACTGCCCTTATCCCGACTCACCAGTTTTTGCCTTTTTCTTTCCATTCTCCTCCACACCCCTGCGGGAGGAGGGGGGGCAGAGCGGTTGCTTTGCCCTTTTGTTGCTGGCCACAGCCAAACTATAACATTAAATTTGGTGCCCAGTGTGGGGCAGGGATAATGGCATGGCTGAGCAGAGTGTGTTAAAACAGCTTTCTTAGATTTTGCTATAATTTGCTATACACATTTATTGCCAGTCGCCGGTAAAAAAAATGTTGCTGTCTTTGATCAAGTGGCTGTGGTATGTCAACCCGTACCTGCTGTATGTGTTCTCTGTGGTGCTGTTGGTCATCGCTGGGAAAAAGATCAGGATTACGATTCTGCTGTATGGTATAATATTAACATATGATATAATAACAACACTGTGCATGAAATTAGGCTTGTATTTGCATGCGGCACTGCGGTCATTTCCATACCTCAGGTATTATCTCTCAGAATTTATCAATAATCAAACCCACTCTGTGGGGAAAACTGGAGGGGATACCTTCCCCCACTCTTTCACCCCTCCTCTCTCCTTTAGGCTGGTCCTAACAGCTTTTAAGAATTTCGAGTACCCCTGGGATGCTCAGGCGAGCACGCTCCTATTGTTCTGCCTCCTGAATGGGTTGCAGGTCTTGTTTAGGGTTAAACAAGTAGCTAACAACATCATGCAGAGACCTGCCCCGGGGCTGGATAGCTCAGAGTGGCTGGGTGTGTGGGATAGCATGGGCAAATACCTAGAGCAATGGGCACTTCCAGTGTTTTTGAAACTCACCCCTGAACCCGGTCAGCCTCACCTCCATCCCGGGAAAGGTGATGGAGCAGCTTATCCTGGAGGCCATCATCAAGCAAGTGGAGGAAAAGAAGGTTATCAGGTGTAGTCAGCATGGATTCACTAAGGGGAAACCATGCCTCACTAATCTGATAGCTTTCTACGGTGGCATGACTGGCTGGGTAGATGAAGGGAGAGCCGTGGATGTTGTCTACCTTGACTTCAGCAAGGCTTTCGATACAGTCTCCCATGATATCCTCCTAGGGAAGCTGAGGAAGTGTGGGCTGGATGAGTGGTCGGTGAAGT